TAATTTATTGTTTTAATACAGGTAACACTGTCTCATTGTGGTGGTAAAAAATAAAAACAGAAACAAAAATCAATTCTCTTTGATAAAATCCTACTTAACAACTAATTCTTGTTGAGCATTGCTGTGTGAAGATGTTATCTAAGCATCCTATACTGCCAATAACAGACTTATTAACTTTAAGATGCTCCTGTCCTATGGTGGAGAGAAAAAAATTGCAAACTGTCTAGAAGAAATATCCCAGACCTAGAAGTCAGGAAATGTGGTGGTCTCAATGCTAAAGTTACATATTTATCTTCTTGAATCCAAAGTTTATGTATATTTTTATTATGTTATTTCAGAGATTGGGATATGTCTAGTTAGTGCGTTGTGGTCTTTTTTTAAAATGACTTTAAAAATGTATAGTGTATCTCACAATGAATGACATCCTAGAAATGAAATCTAGTACTTGACATTGGGTGAAGTATCTATTTCTTTTTTTTTCTTTTATCCTCACCTGAGGTCATTTTTTTCATTGCTTTTTAGAGAGAGGGAGGGAGGGAGAGAAAGAGAAACACCAATTTATTGCCTCTCATACGCAACCTGATGGGGGATTGAACCTGCAACCTAGCTATGTGCCCTGACCAGGAATCGTACCCACAACCTTTTGGTGTACAGGACACTCCAACCAAATGAGCCACATCAGCCAGGGCTGAAGCACCTGTTCCTTAATATTTCCATTTCCTAATTTATAAAATAAAGGATTCTTACCAGAACATTCTTTCTTTTGTAAAAGTATATGATTAGAACAGTCAAAAACATAATGTGCCCAATGCCATAAACATTTACTGGGCATTATATTAGTGTATGAGAGGGTTTAAATAAAATAAAATACTGTAGTTTTCCCTCTAGGAAAGCTGCAGGTGATCAGGGGGGATGCAGCCCCAAAACTCAAGGTGTTCCTGACAGTCCTCAGCAACCTTAAATGCATGTAAAGAACATTCAGTTTAAGTATGTTAAGTGCTGAAAGTCCTGGCAAAAAAATGCTATCACCTGGAAAGAGTCAATCAAGGTCGGAAGCCTGGGAAGCCAGGCACCTTGCAGGCACTGGCTGCTGGGCCAGCTGGCAACAGCAGAATCCCCACAGCCAACTGGGAGAAACTTGCACCCGCACTGCTGGGAAAAGCTAAGACTGAACACTGGGGCTAATGCAGACGATCATTTGCATTCATGCAGAGAAGACATGGGCTCAGATTTGAAGAGTGGGTCTGTAATAGATGCAAGATTCTGTGTTATGAACTATGAGGGGAGTGTTTGGGAATCAGAAACCAAATGGCCTTTTGGAATTGTGTAGAGCCTGGCTAATAATCCTCCTTTGGGTCATACATTCATCATGTTCCTAGGATGCTGCTCAAAATCTGTTTCCCTCCTCTTACACATCTGCCCAAAGACTGAAAGGAACTGACACATCTGCTTGTCCAGCTGCACAGAGCAGCCCGGGGCTCCGCGTCCTGGCCCTTCACGTGCCCTTTGTCTCCTGTTCTTTGTCTTTTCACTGTGCTGAGCCCCTGCTTGAAGCTGGGCCCATTGCTCTCCTTGAAGGCAAGCCAGTGTGGTGGGAGTGGAAACGTGTGGAGCTTATAGGTAGGCTCCTGTGTTTAGGCGTAAGATTCATACAACAGAGAAGACATTAAACAAACCTCTGAGTTCCACCTCCCAGACGTAACCATTGTTTACATTTGTTCACTCACCCTTGCTTCAAAAAAGTTCATGTCCTTGCTTGTTTTAAGTCTCTATCTCCCCCTCTTTCCGTAGTGAACCACTACTGTGAATATGGTGTGTATTTCACCAGTCAGGTTTGGGGCTGCTTAACTCCCACTTTTAGAACTAGAAGTTATGTTAGGGTCTAAGCTTTTCCTATTTTAAAATGATGATATTAAAGCCTAGAGGAATTAAATAATTAATCCAAAGTCCTTTGCCCCCCTTCTTCCTCTCTCTTTCCTTCTCCCTCTCCCATTCTGAATTTATCCAGCGGCCACTATTTGCTTATCTATGCTATTAAAGACTTTTTTTTTAAAGAAGAGGAAGGAAGGAAAAAATAGAAGAGAAATGTGGTGTGGCTTAATTTCTCTTATCAGGAAAGGGATGTTTACATGGGAAACAGGAAGTGATACAAGACAGTGTAGGATTAAAGTTTAACTTCCAATATGATCGGGGCCAAGTAGAGAAGCCTTAGAAGGTACGTGCACCATCTGGAAGAAAAAGTCTGTACTGACTGGGTTGCTGGGGAAGGTTCAGTGGCTGGGGACCATGGTGGCGGGTTCATTTTGAGCCAGATGCAGGATGAAGAGGAAGTAATGAAAGAAAGGTCACCGCAAGGTGTGCTGGGAGGAGCGGCAGGTGAGCTTAGGAGAGTGTGGAGGAGACAGTGTGTAGCGTGGCCACGTATCAGCTGGAGAATTTTTTACCTAACCAATTGGTAATTATCTCTTTTTTCAACCATGATATCTAATAAATGGTGATAGTTGAAGGAAGATACTCAGTAGTGAGAGTGCATGCTGCTAAAGCTTTTTAGAAGACAGCTTTGTCTCATAAGCTCATATAGGTGATCACTTTAACCAGCAATCAGCCATGTGGTTTCTAACAGAAAAAAAAAAGCAAATAAGCCCTGGCTGGTGTGGCTCAGTGGATTGAGCGCGGGCCTGCGAACCGAACAACCATGGTTCGATTCCCAGTCAGGGCACATGCCTGGGTTGCAGGCCAGTTCCCGGCAGGGGACGCATGAGAGGCAACCATACATTGATATTTCTCTCCCTCTCTCCTTCCCTTCCCCTCTAAAGATAAGTAAATAAAATCTTTAGGAAAAAAAAAGCAAATAAACCAAACATTTTAAAGAGCCATTGTAATTAGGTATGTTCTATATTTAAAATGGTATATTGAGTCACAGTAAAATATATGGAACCAGGATATATTAAATTTAAAAACCATAAAAACCAACATAATACAGTAATTTTTTGTTACAAAAATATATGCACATAGCAAAAAGACTGAGGGAAAAATGCACCTGAATATGGTGCATCATCAACAATGATGATTTCTGGGAGGTAGAATCCATCGTTTGTGACTTCTCTGTTCTTGTTGCTGGTTCAGATTTTCTAAAATCCCTTCAATGAACATGTTTGCTTTTGTAATAAAGGAGAAAATTATAAAAATGGCAAACCATAACAGTTATGTATTTTTAAAAATACAATCTGAATCTCATGGAGCCAAAAATAAATTATTCTTATTTATGAAAAATAATTTCACTGTTTCTAAGAACCTGAGGCGTGATGCTCTCGGGGGTCAAAATTCCCAAATGATGACATGATTGAGAAAACACACACTCCAAAAATATAAGCGGTACAGAGTAACTGATGAGGCCTTAAAACCTGAGTAAGGTAACGACTTCAAGGCCGCGTTAATCCCTTTACGAAAGCTGTGCTGTCTAGTGCGCTCCTTCAAAGGGTCAGTCTGGCCCGAGAGCTGGCATATCTGCTGTGTGGTCTGTTGTAGTGCTTTGACATGCTCGTTGGATAAAGTGTGCTTCAGGCGACCTCCTCCTTTAACTTACTTTGTTTAAAAAGAAGTATGGTGCGGAGGGGAACCCAACACTATTTCTTTCCTGAAATAGGCATTTCTCAGATTTTTGCCACTAGCTTACCAATAATTTGGGGGAAGCTCCTTAATCATTTGGAACTTCAAGCTCCCCCCCTAGAAAATGGAGTACTGAGAAAATTTTCCTCCAGCCTTAAAATTCTCTAGTTCTGTGATTATAACACAAGTTCTTATTCAAATTGTCGTATGTATACACAAACCATTCTGAAAGAAATAAAAATGCCAGATGAACCACAGTTTTACCTCCATTTGCACCAAAAGCTGTGTTTGGGGTCCAGTGAAAATCCACTACTCTATTTGAATTGAGTGTCCATTCATATGCCGCTGATGACCCGATCAGTCCCAATGGAAATATTTGCTTTGATTTACTTGGTAGGACTTTAATTACTGTAAATATATACACACCAACAATAGACTTGATTAGCATTCCCTGGGTGTGTGTGTGTGTGTGTGTGTGTACAGAATCAAAAGCAGTAGAACGGCTTTGGTGGCAGAGAGCAGCAAATGATGACAGCTCTGGTCACAGAGTGACGAGAAACACAGGTAAGATAGCGTCAAAAATGACCTGTATGTAGTTCGCAGATTTGCCCATTTAAATAACTTTTGAAAAAGCAAACAAATTTCAAAAATAGACAAGGGGGGCCCTGCCAACATAAATGACCATACTGTGTCAGAACAGAATAATCAATTCAACTCCATGTGGATGACAATTACATCTTTAACCCACAAAATTTGCTTCTGAAATTCTAATCCTTTGTTCCTTACCTAACATTTAACTTCTTAGAAGCTAAGCATCCTGCAGTGTTTGACACATGCTGGGGTCTGGATAACAGGATAAGATGAAAAGGGATGACTGTCGTTTTTACTTTAGCATATTATTGTCCTTGCCACCCCTATTCCCATTCTCAAAATTGATTGAGTTTGGATGGATATTTTGGAATAAACTTTTAAATTTTCTAGTATTAGGAAATGGAGAGAAAAAGATCATGAAAAAAATGGTCAAAGAAATGAATGATTATCTTCTCTCCTCATACCAATGACTAAGAATGAAGACAAACTCCGCCCGACCTCCCATCTTCCGTGCCCTACATGTGGACCTCTCTGGAGGGCTCAGCACAGAAGCACGTGTGCATGGGAAGTGTGTGTGAGTGTGTACACATACACCCACATAGAGTAGTAGGAAAACCCATAATTAGGTATTCAGAGACATATCACATAGAAGAGGGGCATCATTTCCTAAGATTTTATTAAAAGAATTAATATTGGAGAGTTGGGAGAAGCAGCATGGTTCTTCCTTAAATGTTCCCCAAAGCAAGTTCACCTTTTTGACTTGATATCACCAGAAACAAAAATGTGAACTTTTTGTGTAGGTCAACATCCTCGGAGCCCAGGACAAAGAGAATGAGCCTCCAGAACCTACTCGGGCTGACTGGCTGGCCACCACCCCTTCATCTGAGGCTGCCACCACCCTGGGGCCATTGCTCAGCATCCGCGAGGACAAGGCAGAGGGACCAGAAACAAGAACTCCCAGTGCCATTTTGAACTTAGAGTTGGAAGACTGGGTGCACAAAGGTAAGATATCTGTGAACCAGCTGCTGCATCTATGTGTGAAGAAGGCACCAACACAGTCTCTGTGATCTCCTTTAGAGAGAATGCATTTTAATTGTAAACAGTGTCAGACAAAATGTAATTTTCATTTTATTATATAGAAAATTGAAAAACTGGCTGCAGTTTAAAGTTCTGTAGTGTTTGTTATTATTGTTTTTCATTTGAATGTCTTTACAGAGGGTTGTGTTCTTGTGTTTGCCATATAGTCCCTACCACTCCCTATTATATTACACTCAGCCTTCACACATACAGACATTTGAATTTTGAATCCTAGGTTGTAGAAGAGGAAAAAGAGCCAGAACCTTGATTCATTAACATAGTTTCTATAGAATTAATATCTACAGAAATTAATCATTAGGTACAGTTTCTGAAGAACAAGCCAGGAAGACAATACCCTTGCTTCAAAGAAGACAAGATTGGCTTGAAAACAAGTTACACAATATCATTTTGAAGAGCAAAGGTAGTGAAAATTCACTGCTTCTTTCCAATTGGTTTAAGGAGTGCTCATTTAGTTTCAGAAGTAATTGAGACACACTTCAAATCCAGGGAAATGATGATGAGAGATGGGGGGAGGGCTGGTTGTGATTCTGAGAAATGAAGCTTACAACACATACGCCGGCTCACAGAACACAGAAAGCAGCAAGTATCCATTTGGTCTTTCTGTGGATTCTCTCTTCCTCAGGTAAGAAATATGAATTTCTTCATATGGCGCACTAAGGAGCACTATGAAATAAAAAGGGCTTTAACAAAGGATTTTTTGTTGTAGCTTTTCTTTGCTTTTTACAGCGGATGTATTCCTGAAACTTATTTGTATACTGACACAAAAGGTCATGTTTTTATCACCCTGCAGGGGCACCTCTTTATAGACGACAATTGTCACATGAAGGAAAGCCCTTTACTTTTTTGTAACTTAAAGGAATCTGTCTTTTTTAGTGGCACAATGGCATGGGATTGTGGTGGTACTTTCTAGAAACAAAGTACAAGGAAGTGTGTATGGAAAGCCCAAAACCATCTTCATTCCAAATATTAATTTAATTTTTAGTCCATTGCAAAGTAAATTGGGAAGTTCTGTTTTTTCTCCTGTCAACTAATCATCACAAGAATATTAGCCAGTGAAGGCTCACAGTGTTATGCTTTCAAAGAAATATGAATTTCTAATGGGGTTTCATGAAGATGGAAAGTTTTATGTTTTCAAAGGACTGTATATTTCATGGTGGATTTTCAGGTGGTGGAGGAGATGTTTTGGGTGTTAGAGAACTCTTCTTTAACTCAAAACAGTATTTTCCTAGTTGGTGGGTTAGTGTGCACGGAGAACAAATTGTATAAAGCCTTTATTTTTCATCTTGTCAGTGAACAAAACGCCTATAACAATACACGGCCCTTTTCTCTACCTAGACCATAGGTGTTTAGAGGACCTAAAGCCCGGAAACTGCAGTGAGTACGTGGTACGGTGGTATTACGACAAGCAGGTCAACTCCTGCGCCCGCTTTTGGTTCAGTGGCTGTAACGGCTCAGGAAACAGATTCACCAGTGAAAAGCAGTGTCAGGAAACCTGCGTTCAAGGATGAGCCGGTAAGCCCACCTGTAATGAGACCAATCTACATCTCTATCAAGTCTAGAAAGAACCTTTATAATTTCAGCATATTCACCCAATATAAACAAAGCACCATATTTGATTGTATACTATTTGTAATTTATAAACACAGTTGAGTCCTGATAACCACACTGGGATGTGGATGTTATTAACCACTTTCATAGGTAAAGAAGCTGAAGCTCCAAGGGGTTTAGTAATCTGTTAACAGTGACCCAGCTGGAAGATGGCAGAGCTGAGGATTTGACTCAGAGCCATGAAACCTCAATATGTAGGTTTTAGTATCTACTTCACAACCTGCAATGCGGTTTCTGATTCCTGTTCATTCCTGTTCTATGTGTTATGTCGGGTGAAACTCCTTCCCCAGCCCAGGCCCCCATTCCTCCCTGGTCCCATTCACCCACTTCAGTCGCTCAAACCCCTCACAGCCATGCCAGCAGCAAAGGGTGGGTAGGTGGTGGAGAAGGACTTGGGTGTGGGAATCAGGTGTGGTGGGAGTATGTTTGTACATAGGAGGTCATCAGATAAAGATATCCTGCTTGAAGGAAACCAGCAAGATGGAATGGTTCTGAGAAATGGGAGGTGCTGGGATAGGAGGTGGAGTGGTGTGCTGAGGATTTTCCCCTCTTGCTGTGAAAGTGAATAAAAAACCACTCTGAGTTAAAATGACTTAATTCACATGGATTAACAACTGTCACTCTGCACTCCTCCAACATGTTTGGTAAAAAATCCTTATTGTATGTTAAAACTATATACAGAAACCAAAAATTGAAATGTAAATAAAGGAACTTTTCTCATCCTGCCTTGGAAACATGTAAATAATGACTTTCAATTCCAGGAGGATAGAAAAAGAAGGCACTAGACAGCCAGGAACTTTAAACCCACATCCACTCGCGAGGAGGGCGTTTTAAAGAAAGGCCTTAAGCTGAAAAATGAGCCACCAAATTGAAATATGACCCAATAGAGTAATAGAGAACTGGCTGTGTCATTTTACAATAATTCTGTGACACCCCGTCTGGGAGGATCATCAGTTGTGAGCTATGCTCAGACAGCACTTGTATCTGTCTCACGGTGCCCTTCCTTCTTCTTTCAGGCCTGTGACCCGCATTCAAGGTCAGTGGCACACACGCACACACAAAAAAAAAGCACTCAAGGAAAAAGGTGCTGGAAGAAGAGCCATCTTAGCAAAAATAATTTTGTGTTGTTTGGTTAAATGTTTGTGATGTAATATTTGATACTCCAAAAGAATATAAGCAATGTACTTGTCGGTTTAAAAATACTATCATAAGGTGAACACTAGTGAATACTTCGCACAGAGGATGACCAATTCCACGGGGACTTCCGGTGCGTCCCTCCACCATCCTAGCCCCTATCTCCTGTCAGGGATAATTCATCTTGAATTGCGTGTTTACCGTTTTGCTTTGCTATTGTTTCTTATATGTAATTTTGCAGGTAAAACCACATCTATCTGTATGTATCTCTAAACAATACACAATTTTGCTTATTTTAGAATGTTATAAAAATGGTACCATATTTGAGTCTTTTGCAACTTGCTATTTTCATTCAATATTATAATTAATCCATATGTCTTACCATTTGCATTCCTAAAAATATCTACATGAGTTCTTACAAATTTATTATTTAGGCATTTTGGGCTTTAGAAAATTTATTTCATAATATATCATTCTTTGCAACTTGGTATGTTATTGCATTGTAATTCATTTACTTTCACAGTTGTATATTTGTGTGAATCTATCATATTTAAAGATTGTCTTGTCTATGATCAATTACATTGTTTCTGTTTATTTACTTATTTTTTCCCGTTTCATCGGCATTGCTATAAATACTCCTATGCACAGCTTTGGGTGCACATGTGCCAGTATTTTCCTAGGATATACACCCCAAAATAAAATTGCTGGGTTGCAGAATATGTAAACATTCAAAAACAGTATATCATACCAAATCAAAACGTCTTCCAAAGCGTTTGAACTGATTCATTATAAACTCTCACCAGTTTTGTATAAGAGTTCCTTTTGCTTCATTTTTTTTTTTCAGTGTATGATCGCTTCTCATGCGACCCCTGCTGGGAACTGGCCTGCAACCCAGGCGTGTGCCCTGACTGGGAATCGAACCGTGATCTTTTGGTTTGCAGGCCTGTGCTCAATCCACTGAGCTACACCAGCCAGAGCTTTGCTTCATATTCTTGCCAATACTGAGCATTGTCTGATTTCTTCATTTTGCTAATACAAGTAGAAAATGGTATCTTGTTTTGCTTTCACTTTCTCTGGTGACATTTTGCCATATTTATTCACCACTGGTGCTGCTACTGCTGCTGTAAAATGCATGTTTATCCCTGGGGAAGAATTTTCTGTTGGATTGTTTGTCTTTTCCTTGAATTTTGGGGAGTTTCTTATATATTCTTCAATTAAGTTATTTATTCATTATTTGTGTTGCCAATATCTTTGTGGCTTGCCTTTTTCTTTACTCTTTTCTTTTTTTAAGTCAAGAGAAACTCTTGATTTTAATGCAGTCTCACATTTACCCATTTTCCCCCTTAGGGTTAGCACTTTCTTCCCTTGCTTAGGCTGACCTGCCTGCCCCTCAGCCACCTTTCTTGACTGGGACACTCCCCCCAAGACAAGAAAGGTTCGGTGCTGTGTGTCCCTCTCTAGATTCCCATCTTCACAGAACCTTGGTAATTTCTGGGTGGTTGTTTTTGCTTTGTCTTTTTCAGTTGTCCTCAGCGTGGAAGTGGATCTGAGCTGCATACATAGCCATTGCCATATTTTATTGCTGTGGGATGGGAGGTTTGGGGTATTTTCTTAATTCCTGGAAGTCCAGCAATGCTTTAAAAAGCACTGATTAGCTGTCATGTGGTTATTGAAAAGTAGAAAAACTATTTGGAGTATCTATCCTGCTATTTTGCCAGAAGCAGTAGTACTTATATTCCTTTTCCAAGCTTTTCACGACTCTGTCCACGTAGAAAATTGATATGAAAACATGTTGTAATATTGGCTTGGGTGTTTGTTCCTTTGTCAGAAACATCCTGCTCCTTGTGATGACCAAACCTGATACTTCAAGGATAACTTGCAGGCCTCCCCTTCCTCCTCTGTGGGACTTCCTCCTCCCATGCTCAACACTGAGGGCCCAAAGCACCCGGCTTAAGCCTCTGTTCTACCCTTAGCCTGAACTGCCTTGGACTTAGAGCATTTGTGTTGGTTTTCATTTGCCACTCTAACAAATTGCCACAAATTTAGCAGCTAAATGACACAAATGTTTATTTTATAGTTCTGTAGGCCAGATGTCTGATGCAGGTCTCACTGGGCTAAAATCCAGGTATCGATGGGGCTGTATTTCTTTTTTTTTCTTTTCATTTTCACCTTTTCCAATTTCTAGACGTGCATACTTTCCTTGGCTCATGGCCCATTTCTCAATCTTCAAAGCCAGCAACCGCAGGTTGAATGTTTCTCAGGCTGCCATTGCTCTGACTCTGAGTGCAGCTGAGGAAGGTTCTCTTCTTTTAAGGGCCTCTGTGCTTAGATCTGGATAATCCAGGTGGCTAATCCAGGATCAGCTTCCCATCTCAGATGTACACATCTACAAATTTCCTTTTGCCAAGAAAGGTAACCATTTAAAGGCAACTAGGGAATGGACATTGTTGCCACAATTACTCCCTCAGTCACAGCATCTGTATCCTCTGCCAGCTCTCTGAGTTCAGGAGCAAAGACGTGTCTTATTTATCTCTGTGTCCCTAGCTCCTGGCCTATAGGAAGAACTCAATTCATTTAAAAAATATTAGAATTAATTTTTTTTAATTACATAAATAGTTAACTACTTGGAGCCCTGGCTGGTGTGGCTAAGTGGATTGTCTGCAAACCCAAGAGTAGCTGGTTTCATTCCCATCCTCGGGCCAGGCCTAGGCTGCAGGCCAGGATCCCAGTAGGGGGCGTGCAAGAGGCAACCACACATTGATGTTTCTCTCCCTTTCTCCCTCTCTTCCCCTCTCTAAAAATAAATATATAAAATCTTAAAAAAAAATAGTTAACTACTTGGAAGAGGGAAATAGAAATATATAAGAAAAAATTATACCAGTTTAAAAGGAAAATAAGAGAAAAGTGGTATGTTAGTGAGTAAAAGCTCTTGCTCTGTCATGTGCACTTTGAGTCTGAGAACACCCTCTTCCACTTCTTCCCCTGGATTAGCAAAACAAAGAGAAAAGTCAGAGGGAGTGTTGTCTAGCTAGAAAAAGGATCAAAGAGGCCTAATCAAACAATCTGAGGATCAATTCTGGGAAACAGAATGATGATTTATGTTTTTGTATTTAGCTATTCAAAAAGCCAGTAAAGACAGAAGATATATGATATTTTGTTTCTCTGTTCTCCAAAGAAAAAAGGACAGATTATGTACAAAATGTGCTAGAAACAAGAATGTATACTTTCTATAAAAAGTCCCCATTTAAAATTAAGACATCGAGAAACTTTTAGTATTTTATCAAATTCTAATGATGTTCAAGAATTTTAACAATGAAAACACTACACTGAAATGTTAAAATATCTTAGGTGATCATTCTGTCATTCCCTTGAAACAGCTTTGCCAACTGCAAGCGATGCTCTAATCAGGGGTTTGCAGAGAGTGATAAATGCATGTAGTTATTAGACTTCGTGATTTTGGCCTTAATGTTTATCCTAAACACAACAAAAAGGAAAGAATGAGAGAAAAATATTGGCAAGTAACACATAACAGAATTATTTCATATCGCTAACAAACCAAGAGATCTTACAAGTCAAAAAGAATAAAAAGGAAAAAATAGAAAAATGATTCAGATTGCCAGCTCAAGGGAGATGGCCAACAAACCTTCATCAACTGTCAGAGAAATGCTTGCTAAGTAGGTCTGGGGCGAGGCTGGAATACCCACCCACAGGCAAGTCTGCTGAGTAACCCTGGCTGAAAACCAGTGAGGAGACATCAGCATCGTGCTACCCTCCAAAGAGTAGGAAAGACTCTACTCTTTGACTATTTGATTGTTTGACTTGGGATTTTAGCAACTTTTTACTCCCTTTTTTTCCACAAATCTATAATTCAATGTTTTTCATGGATAGCAATGCAACGATGGATTAACGCTATTGAAGTGTCCAGGATACCCCCTCCTTATATTTTTAGCATAATGTCACTAAATTAAGTCATATTTTAGATTGTGTGTGTGTGTGTGCATATGATCATCAAAATAAGAACAGTCCCAAATCATATTTCACACATATACTTATGACACTTTGGGTTTTTAAAAAATATTAAACTGATTTGAATTTTAAGGGCATTATTTATCATTTTACAAAAATTAATATCTTTGAAAATATTTTTCATTTAAACAAGTACATTTAAAGTCACACCAGACTCTGAAAGTTAGGAATTTTTGAATCAGGTTAAAAAAAGAAGGGCTCTTAGAATCACCAAGAATCTTCTAGTCCTATATCTCTTGTATGTACTGCTTATGTCCTTTATACAAACACCCTAAGTGACTGGGCGTTCTTGGGGCAAACATTCTGATATGACAGTGATCTGAGCAGCCCCGTCTTTGGGTGACACCACCCTTACTGCTGCGCATGCGCCGAGTATCTCCTGTGGCTTGCACCTTATGAAACTCCTGCTCTGACCCGTGGAGCCTTTTATAACAATTGTGTTGTTATTGTAAGGCTGGCCGTGCGTCCTCTTTCCTTCCAGCTGCTTCAGCAGCTTCTCCCACTTCCCTGGCTCTCTGACCATCCCAGCCTCTACTTCTGAGTGTGCCCTACAGTATGTGAGGGTTTCACAGTGACCGGAGTAGGGGAAAGGAGCAAACCAACACAAATAGTATATTCCTATAGAATATTAAAAACCCAGGATAACTGGCACATTAATAGAAGACATGGGAAAATTTACCTCTATCTTGGAAGCAGAAAGGAACAGAGGAGTTACACAGTAGGGATTCTAAATGGTAAAATAGGACTTGGGCATTGCAAAGACAGCAGGGCTTCTCTCCATTTTCCTCTCTGAAACTGACTGCAGGCTTCAGTTTTATTTTTGCCAGTCTTCAAATTTGCCCTTAAACTCTGCACTCACAGTTTCTTAGCATTATTTTTAACTCCTAACAGAATTCTCCAGTTATTTTCTCCTTCTCATATTAGTTGGTGTTATCTTAAATTTATTATTTGGCTGTTTTCCCTCTCTTGCATCTTAATGAAGAGAGCTATGGTTTTGTCAGTCGCTCAAACTGGCATTTTTCTCGAATTGTTCTATTATGAATAAATCTCTGCTCAGACTTGCTTTCAGCTGTTTAAAGCGAAACAGAACATGTCCCTCCTGGGGGGTAGGAACACAGCCCTTGCCTTTATGTAACTGTCTGATCTCTGGTCTTCCAGGAAATAAATATTGGAATGAGTAGACTTTCCCTGTGGTGCATGACTTTGTTATTAGAAAAATACTCACAAATACAGTAAAATGGACTAGAATTGTGCCTCTTCAAATTTTGGAGCGTTACCAGAGCTCTTCCCATGCTAAAAATGAGAGGCTAAATCTATTAAACTTACTTTGGACTTCTCTAC